AAAACTGGGTGGCTGGGGGGCAGAGGAGGGAGGGAGACTTTTCACTGTATTCCCTTTTGTTCCTCTTGAATATTGAGCTATGTGAATGGCATTGCTTCTTCAAAAATATACAAGCAGAAGTAAACAAAACATAAGGGAAAAGAAAATGGGTGTGATATAACGAATAAAAACAGAATACAGAATGAGGTACTCACGCTTCAAGTATATGAACTAGGCATATATATGAGCAAATGCTAGAAGGTAAGAGAGAAAAGCCCAGTTTGAGTTGTTTTAAAATATATAGAAGAAATTGTTAAAAACTATCCAATATTTTTAAAAAAGAAAACTGATCACCTGGATATTCTAGGTTTTTATGTCATTCAATGGTTAAACACTTACTGAGTACCCATTGTACTGCAAATTATAGATGCAAAGTGTGATTCTGAAGAGCCACTGGCACTGAAGTTACATATGTGGTTCCTTTACCAGTGTGTCGTCTGTTTTGTCCTTGGTCCCTTATATTCAGTGAGTATCCACGGCATATAAAAGCAAGTCTCATGCAACCATGTCTGGACTCAGCAAATTGCCCTGGACTACCTGCTGCTCACTGCGTGCTGCCTACGCCCTGATCCTGTACGCATGTGATGTCACCACGCTGCTCAGGAAGGTCGTCATTATCCATCCAAAACATTTGGGTAGGGCCTGCGGCTCCTAAAAGGAATCACAGGCCAGCGGGAGAGGCCATCCAATTACACACACAGTTGTGCTGAGAGACCTGGGATCTTTTTGCACCTCAGGATTTGTCAACTATGTGTCTTCCCCACCAGTTACTCCCTTCCATGCATGTGTATCCTCCTCCTGCCTCTCGATGCCTTCCCGAGTCTTCAACATCTAGCTTCTACTTCACACCTCGTAGCCTGACACTGACTCGAGAGATAAGGAACCCAAGGACGAGGAGACAGAGCATCATGGCCACGTTAGTTCTTGGTGTATTTACAAGTACCCATTCCGAAAGAATAGGCAAGTGAGTCCAATTTTCTTCCTTCAAGCATGCCCCCAAGTTTCTCCATCAGAGGGAGCTCTACCTTGCCCCACATGGGGGTAGGGTGGCACTAACCAGCGCTGCACGCCACTCCTGGGCTGACACATAAAACAAGCTTTTGTTACATGCCTGTTACAGAAGATTGGACCAGTTCACCCAGGGCCAGACACAGAGTAGATGCTCAGTGAATGCACTGGCTTTAATTGCAACAAAGAAAGACTTAGTTCTATTCCCCAAAGCCACAAATCCATCATAATTCAGCCCCCAAAAATGTACTGTTTCTGTCTTAAGAGAGGCTGAGTACCATAGGTACCCTAAAACTTTCACTTTGGAAGTTTTCTCTACTAAAGTTTTCTTTAGCCTGCAAGTTGACGGCTCCGTGATTTTTCAACATGTGCACACATGCAAACACATCCTCAATTACTCTATTATCAGGACTCGATACGCCCGATTAGAAAGTAGAATAGTAAGGAAAAGCAAAGATTTAGAGACTAACAGAGAGTTTTTTAAAAAATTAACCTAAGTAGTGTTTCAGGATGAGAGGAAGTCAGAGGCTTGCAAAGCTATTTGGTTTGTATTCTTTTTCCTTTATAATCAAGTCAAGCTAATGTAAACCAAAAACACAACTTGAACTAAACACACATTTTCACTCATGATTAATTACGAAGCAGGCATTTCAAATCAGTGTTGATCTAATGTTTTTAGAATAATTATTTAATTTTCGAGATCCAATATCTGTCGAGTAAATCACCAATTTCCAGTTCATTCTTATTTAATATAAAAAATCTAATTAGTATAAAGCTATTTCACAGCTGCCTTTAAATTAAACCATAGTCAAGGGCATAGAGCATTTGTGGTTTGCTTTGGCATCTCTAAATCAAATGTTCTTTTTGTTCACATATGAAAGAACAATACCAAAAATTATGTTTTATTTTGATGTTTTAAGCTGAGCTTCATAACTTCAGATTTTAACTTGTAATTTTTTACAAGTAACTGAAGTTTTGAAATGTATATTTTTTAAGGACAGAGGTTGGCTGCAGAGAAGAACATATATTTTTTAAGCTTTTTTTTTTTTTTTAAGACAGAGTCTCATTCTGTTGACCAAGCTGGTGTGCAGTGGTGTCATCATAGCTCACTGCAACCTCAAACTCCTGGGCTCAAGGAATCCTCCTGCCTCAGCCTCCCAAGTAGCTTGGACTACAGGTGTGTACCACCATGCCCAGCTAATTTTTCTATGTTTTGTAGAGACAGGGTCTCACTCTTGCTCGGGCTGGTCTCAAAATCCTGACCTCAAGTGATCCTCCTGCCTCGGCCTCCCAAAGTGCTAGGATCACAGGTGTGAGCCACCACGACCAACCCCCATTTTTGATAATTATAAGAATTTTATGAATCACCAGCTCAGCTATTAATACTGATTTTGTTAATAATCAGGTTTTTTTCTGGCATTAAGTAACAAACTAGATCTTCTAGTAACAAATGTAGACCTTCAAAAACCTTCAAAGAGAAGGCAACAAACCCATTTCTCTAGTAAGAATTATTTTTACCAGGACGGGTAGGGAACCTGCAGCCTCGGGGCCACGTGTGGCCCTCCAGATCCCCAAGTGCAGCCCCTCGACCAAATCCAGACTTCACAGAGCAAATCCTAAAGGCTGCACTCAAATATCCAGAAGGTCGCATGTGGTCCCAATAATAATTTATTGTTCAACAAATAAGCTGTTAATAAATTATCACATACTAAATTGATCAAGGTAAATTATCTGGACATAAGTCTGGTTGAATAAAAGAGGATGGTAAGACTTTTGCTTTCAGTCTTTTACCCTTTGATAAAGTGACTTACTGTGCAGGCCGTGCGGTACAGCCCAGTCTCTGAGTTGGATCAGCCTGGGTTCCAGCCTTGCCTCATACTAGTTATGGTAGATTACGTGATCACTTCACTTTCTCTGATCTTTGGCTTGTTTATAGGATGGGGAAAATACCTGTCCCCCCCCTGGGTCAATGTGATGTTTATGAAAGAATTTTGAAAAAACCCAACACACATACTGTGTGAATGATGAGTGGATTAAAGACTGGAAATTTCATTCTATTTTAATATGTGCTGCATAAACTAATAGACTTATTCCATGAATAAAAATAAACATATCTTCAGACTATACAAAGGCTCAATTGATACCTCATCCATATACTCTTCTTGGGAAAACAAAATTACTTGAGACCTAGCTCCAGCTGGCCAAGAACAGACTCAAAATTAACAAATGGAAAATGGGGAGGTCAGGCAGCAAAACTCGGGAATCCAGTTTAAATATGTGTTGTCAGTCAGATGGTACAGTTCATGGGTAAAGTATGGCTCTACAATTCTTCCTTCAACTATTCCTTACCAGCTGTAAGGAATTGTTGGGAGTCACATTTTTCACTTTAGTTTGGATGAACACTTAAAAGGACAACCGTTGCTGCAATCGGTAGTGCATTTGAGAAAAGGCTGGGAGAATCACTTAACCACAAGTTTGGTTGTTGAATTCATTTTTCTCCCTAACATAAAAGAAGAGTTCCATAGAGGTTGACTGGTCATTTTTTTATTGTAAAGTAATTCAAGTAGCAATTTTCTGCATCTTTAAAATGAATATTGAGTGACTTGTGTCACTAAGGTTTTTAAGTTGGTAAAAATAGTTCATTGATATTAATTATAATTAAACCCTTGTCATTCTTCCATTTGTGGAAGAATGTTCCTTTGTTAATAATGTCTAAGAATTACTATGGCCTCAAATGGTCTAAAACTTATCTACATAAATACATACAGAATATAAGCATATATTAATGATTATCTCTGGGTAGTGGATTTCCATGTGATTTTTATTTTCTTTTGTATACTTTCTTATGTTTTGCAATTTTCTACAAGGAGAATATATTAAAAGGAAAAAGTTTTAATCCATATATATTGTATATATCACTAACTACTGTGCAAATAAACACACAGGAAAAAGGCTAGAAGGAAATGAACCAAAGGTAGTCTTTCATTCATCTGTCCATTCATCCAGTGGATATTTATTAAGCACCTACTATACCAGATATGGCGCCAGACACTGCCCAGGGCAAGGTGTTGAGCACTGCTGTCTCCAGTTGTGAACTTTTGGTGTTTTTTCTTTCTTCTCTTTTGTACTTCCCAAAAGTTTTATTGTGAATATGTTTTTATTTATAAAATAGTGAAGCATTTTATTTATTTTTAAAAGATTCTGGTAGACAGTGCTCAGAAAGGAGTGTTGGCATATCTGACTGTGTAGATGTGTTCTAATAGATGAGCTTTTGAGATATTCACTTATTATTGGAGTACATTGGCATTCCCCTTCCCCCGCACCTTGTGAAATTCATTTCTTTAGCAAACAAAAAATATACTTTTTAGGCCGGGCGCGGTGCCTCACGCCTGTAATCCTAGCACTCTAGAGGCTGAGGCGGGAGGATCGCTCAAGGTCAGGAGTTCAAGACCAGCCTGAGCAAGAACGAGACCCCATCTCCACTAAAAAATAGAAAGAAATGATCTGGACAACTAAAAATATATATACATAGAAAAAATTAGCCCAGCATGGTGGCGCATGTCTGTAGTCCCAGCTACT